ATGAGAATGACATCTTTTGTATAGGTCTGGAATTAAGGCTTAAAAATCAATGTCCACCACAAAGAAAGCTGTGGGCAAAGCAACAAATGACTATTGGTGAAAGAAAGAGGATGGATAAAAAGTGATTTGGCTGAAGAAACACTTATCTGATCAGGCAACAATAAAAATTATGGATGGCCTTCTTTCATAGTTGGATCTTCTTTAGTGCAAAGAAGAGGTGTATATGGGGAGGAGCTATAAAAAGGAAATGACCCAGAGTGCTGACCACTATCACTTCATGTGGCTTTAATGGGGAGAAAAACTTCCTTCTTTGAAAGATCTGAATTTCATTTGTCAGATAACTTCAAACACAAGTGGACTATAACTCTGGAAAATGGAATAAGAACTATGTAGTGTTAACACTAATCAGTGCCCAGGCAATATTGCAGTGAGATAAAAATGTCTGTTTAAAAAAATTGTGATGAGGGAAATGGAGGAGGAGAATAAGCTATTTCTTTTAATCTTCAGTCTTTGTGAGAGGATCTAAATTACAGTGACCCTGGTTGTAAAGTAAAAAAAACAAAATTGTATTCATAAAACCACCTGCATGGTGAATAAACAATCTATCTTATATAATATCTCTTTCTGCTTTTAGGCATGGCATAACACTTCACTGTATCCACCCTGCCCTTACTTGGGAATGAATTAAGGAAAAATGTCCAAAATCTTTCTACTGAGTCTTCTGAGTTGGCAGCTCTGGGATTGAAAAAATACTACTCTGTGATGATAAGAAACATATTTTATGGATGAAATTACAATTATGAAACAGGAATTTTTTTTCAAACACAAGCTAAAGCATTATGAACATAGTTACCTGTTAAAGGAATTTTTTAAAAGGCAAATACTAATTTAAAAAAAATTGGATAATATCTAAATTTTAATCAAAATTAATCTAAAAGATTCAATACTTTTTAACACTTTTTATAAAGATTGTAGATACAGTTTTAAAGCCACATGAAGTGATAGTGGTCAGCACTCTGGGTCATTTCCTATTCATAGCTCCTCTCCATATACACCTCTTCCATGTTTTAGAGAAACACTGAGAACTTTCAGACAAAATATGGTATGATTTGTTTGAACATGATCTATAGTATCAATCTTACTAGATCAGTCATGAACTTATTAAATCTGGTAAGTGGGTACATATAGTTCATTGTTAGTATGATAAATTTTTGATAAGGTTGATTATAGGTGAAAAAAAATCTAAATACAAAACTGTCCTTTGTGTCAAGTTTAGAAATAGGTAAAACTCTTAAGAAGTCAGTAAAATGATAACCTTTGAAAAACAATTATAAGAAAACGTGGGGCACTGGTCCTAATTTTTGTTCAGAGTATTGACTGCATGAGTATATTAATGCTGAGAAACTATAAGCTGTAGTTTTAAGGAATAAAATTACTTAAAAGGTAATGGGTAAAGTGAATGGATAAATAAAATGAGCCTTTACATTTTGGAATATTATTCAGATTTAAAAAGAAAATTCTGATTCATGGTACAACACAGATGAATCTGAGAACATTCATTCAAAGTAAACTAATAAGGCAGCTGGAGATATAGCTTAGTTGGAAGAGTGCTTGCCTCACATGCACAAAGCCCTGGATTAAAAAAAACAACAACAAACAAGACAAAAACAACAAAAAACCCAAATCAAAGTAAACTGATAAGGCAATCTCCCCAAAACACAAGAGAAGAAAATAATATTATATGATTTTACTCACATGAAGTCCTGAAAAAAAATCAAAATCCAGAAAGTACATAGTATTCAAATAATGGGGGKGGGGGTGGGTGGATGGAGGGAATGGAGACTTAATGCATACAGAGGTAGTTTAGGAAGATAGATATTTTAGAGTGTATGATGATCAAAAAGTAGTTAGAATTTTAAAAGAAACATCTTTGTATGGCTTAATATGAATAAGAAGCACCTCTGGAAGTGATAAGATCCCAAGACTAATACAAAAAATACACATTATTTCTAGCTGCCTTGTTCTACTTTTCTCATGTCTACTCAGTCCCTCATCTCTTTCACTGTGACAAGTTTGTGGGTTTCATTCTTTAGTCTTAGGGCAAAGAGATATTTCATGGCAATCCCTGCAGGAGAATCAATTGCAGAACTCAAAATGAGTAGTTGAGGTCATATCTTTATCAATACTAACCACATTTGATCAGACTCATTTACCTATACACACCTCAGACCATTGGAAGCAAGGAGGTGAAGTTAGCCTTATCACTACCAAGGCACAAAGAGAACATAGTTCCAAAGAAGCATAGGGCACCCCTTTCGCTAACACATTCCATCTAACCTCTATATCATCATGTAAGTGATATATGAGGAAAAATTAAAATGAAGGGGAAAGTGGTATGAATATGATCAGAGGGATTAATAGAAAAAGATTATATGAAACCATGGGGGAAAAATTTAAACAGAGTATGACTATTAACGTAATTCTGGCTTTAAAATCTATAACTGAATTTTACATTTCTATTTAAGTAAGCTTTCCTGATAGTCTTGAAGACTCAATGTTCTAACTAATTCCATTTTGTCAAATTGGCTGAATAAGATGCTCAGATTTAAACAATATTCTGAGTATATTTCTAAGGGTGTTTGTGGAAGAGATGAATACTGGAATTAAAGTGTTAAACCGAGTACAGCCTATTGCCTTCCCTGTTGTTAGGTGGGGCTCATCTACCTCATTGAGGAGGTGAACTTTTAAAAGGCTGGGTAAAGGAGATTCTTTTCTCTGCTGGTCTTAAGCAGGGACATAAATCTCTACCTCTGGACTGAAACCCTACAGGATAGCTCCAGACTCTCAGGATCTTAGTCTCATTATTATACCTTTGGCTCCAGGAGGTCACCAGCTTGCCAACCATAGATTGTAGAAATTTAGCCTTGAACCAGTTTCTTAAGTAAAATCTCTTTAAAATATAGACACTTTTACCATTACAGATGTCTATACCATCCTACTAGTGAAATTTAACAGTAAAGACCAACACAAATTAGAGTCAAAGATTCCCCAACACTTTCTCTTCCACCTATCCTAGTAATCATCAGTTTCCAACAAAATTGCAGCACTATTCCTTAAGTTTACCATGTGAGAAGGATCTGAAAGAAGAGAAGAGATACCATTATTAGGATATTTGGGAGATGTAAAAGCAGAAATACATGTTTCTTTCAGAGATACACAGGAGTCAACATGAAAGTAAACTGATGAGCCTCTGGGTTTCAGAAAGTGGACTAAACTGACTAGTGTCATGGTGTCAAATTCAGTGCATAACTTTTTTTTTTTTTAACAAAAAGCTTAATTACACATCTAGATCGATTTTGGAACCTGATAGTATAAAATGGGGAAAAAAAACATAATTTGTGTGTAAACCTCAAATTCTATAATGGTAGAAAACAGTGGAGAGGCTTCGATTTGTGATACTCCTAAGCAAAATAAAAAAGAATGGTGGGAAAACCTACTGACTTGCTAGCAATAAAATATCAGAGATTATAACACACTTCTACAGATCTACCCTGTTGGATACCAAAGAAGACTCTAGAATGATGGTCACTCAAGCAAGTCAGAGACTGTTGTGTTCACTAAGAGGAACAGGAAAAAGGGAGGTGGGTTGACTCAGAATAGGTTCAGACAGAATGTGATAGATTAGGTTCAGAGGCAGGTTGAGCTATTCCTAAGTTATGTTTGAGTTAAAGAAAGCAGATTTCAAAGTGGTCAAAAATGTTTAAGGCAAGGCCAGGCATGGTGGTGCATGCCTGTAATCCCAGCAACTTGGATGGCTGAAACAGAAGGATCACAAGACCAAAGCCAGCATCAGCAATTTAGGAAAACTCTCTCTCAATAGGAAAAAAAAAAAAAAAAAAAAAAGGCAGGCTAGAAATATAGTTCAGTGGAGGAGCACTGCCTAGTATATGTGAAGTCCTGATATTATACCCTGTTCTGGATAGACAGGTAAATTTTTGCTTTCAGCTATCTGGAAAGCTCAGTCAGGAACAAGGATAGGGAACTGTCAATGAAGTGTTTACTGGACAAATGATGAAATTTCTCTTATGTTATAATGAATAACCCTGACCCCCTTACCCTCCTTTCTGCTGCTGCTGATCAGACAACCAAAGGTCTTCAAGCGAGAACAGGCTTACTTGGGATTGATGCTTTACTTCCACAGATTTTTTCTAGACAAATAATTTATTTTAATAAATGCAAACACATCTTAAGATGCTGGCACCTCTTATTTCAGCAACCATGATATGTAAAGGTTTAGCCAGGGTCTAAATCCATCAAGTGGAAATCCATCAAAGTAGGAATAAGACTGCTAAATCAAAAAAAGAATTTTTTAAGAAACTAAAGTACATTCTCAATCTTCGTAAATGTATGTGCAATATATGTGCTAAGTACCAAGCACTTCACAGAAATTAAATCTATTTGGTTCTCCTATCAACACTTTACCCCTTAAATTTTACCCAAGGAATTTGATACCAAAAGATTTAATAGAGATGACAAAACTTAAAGACGTTAGTAAAAAAAAAAAAAAAAAAAAAAAAAAAAATCCAGATGAGCAAGAAAATCTCTACTGTCCTTCAAAATCAAGTATGATTGGTAATTCAGAGTAAAAGTGTGTGATAAGACTACTTATCAGAATTATCATATGGAACAAGAGACCTATTTTTAAGGACTTGTTACTATTTTTGCTTTTTCCTTAGCAAGAGGCAATAGGGAAAGTTATCATACCCCACATATATAAGAACTGTCCAAATGAATGTTCTCTATTGCATAACAGTGAATTTTAGACAACCCTTATGCTACTACAGTGAAGCTTTACCTTTTGGATTATCACTTTAAGTTGAGAAGTACAGGAGCCTACTCCTTTCCAGAGACAACAGGACAGTGGCCCTTGAAAAACAAATATACAACACATCTGGACAACTCTTTATTATGAATTTTAACTCAAAACAAAGTAGCCAAAAAGTTCTTAGAAACAAGTAAGACATGAGCCTAGTAAGGCTCAGTCTTTATCAAAATTAGAGATTTTGAAATAGACTGGTGAGATTGGAGTAATGGGGTAACCAGGAATCAGCGGATGATGTATCGTACGTAAGGGACCTCAATGTCTTCTCCACTCTCATTGTTGCAACACAGCTCAAGAACCAGGGTGCGCACATGGCGGCCCAGTTTTCGCTTTGACACATGGCTCACAATCTCTGTCATCCTGAGGCAGGGAAGAAAGAGTCAAAAAGTCAGTAAGCAAAAAAAGGAAGAGTAAGTCAGGGGAAAAGACATGAACAATAAACTTTGAGAGGTACAGCTGTAGCTGAAGATTCCATACAAGGCCTCTTCCCACCAGCCCAGCTGCCAACTCACGGTTGATCCAATCGTTCCTTAAGTTTGGCTGACGGCATAAAAAATGAATAGAGCATGGACACTCCCTGGGACAGCATGGTGATCTCCAATTTGTGCTCTGTCTGGGGAGGGGAGAAAGGGAATAATGTGAGAGGAACACTTGCAAAACCAAAATCCCCCAATGACGTAAGCAGAAAAGAAAGGAACCTTACCTTAAAGTGATCTAGGAACTGCTTGAGGGTCATCTCCTCCCCATTAGACTGTAGACCTTGTACATCAAAGCGATCCCACAATGTCCACTCATGGTTATAGTACTGAGACAAAGAGAACAGGAATAAGACATGAGCCACTTGATACATTAAGTCAAACTGATCACAGCCCTTTTTTGTTCAAAACCTCTCATGGTCCACCTTATAATAAGCAAGCAGCAAAATCATTACAATGACCAACAAGGCTGCACACCATAAAGACCACGCTACAGTTTTCACTCACCTTCCCAAAACTACACTTTTCCATTTAATGTCCTCTAAATACACTGACCCTCTTCTTACTGTTCTTCAAACATGCCAGTCACATTCCTACTTTGCATAGGTTCAAAATAACTGAATGAACAGGAATATACAAAATAAACAGGGAACAAAATATATAAAGCCAAATTTACTATTACAAGAGCTATAGCTGCTTATCTGTATTAGACACAAACACAAAATACATGCATCTTACCCACAAATAAAATTTCATTAATATGTAAAATCTCACACAGGTCCTTACCTGATGATGGGGTGGTGCAAGGGGCTCAGAGAAGCTGAAGAAGGGCAGGGCTAAGTTGATGAAACTGTTCTTATAGGACTCAAGCTGCTGGTGTCCCTGCACCACCTTGTAAAGCTCCAGACACACAAGGCCAACTATAGCTGCTGTGGTTGTTGCAATGGCTGGGATGATCTTCCCTGCAATAAGCTTGCTCTGTGAGACCAAAAAAAAAAAAAAAAAAAAAAAAAAATCAGCAGAGAAAAGTATTTACAGAGTCTACAGAAAAGACCAAAGTGGGAAACTCAAGTGTGGCAGAAAGTGTAAAATGGGGGGTATGTGAGGGTATGGATTATTTATTACCTTATGTCGGTCTGCAGGGGAAATATCATAGTTCTCTGCTCGCAAGTTAGATGCAGCCACAATAAAATCCATATGGAAATTACTGTCATCATCCTATTTAAGTAGAAGCAAGCAAGAATGAAGAGCATTAGAGACTACTGTGAAATAAGTATTTTGTTCCCCCATTATGTTAAACGCCCCCAAGATGAAAGAGTATGACTAGGCTCAACTGCAAATCTATAATCTTAACAAAAGCCTAGTCTGTCCCTCTATGTTGACCCCCGGATCCCCTTTTCAGCACCTTTTCAAAGTCAATGGGATACATCTTGAATCCAGGGAGTTTGTCTGGGCTGGGGATTGTGGCCTTGAGTTCTTCCAGGTGGTTGTCATCTGCAGAAAGGGAATGAACAAATACCATCAGCCTTGTTGATTAGAAATCAATGTCCGATATAAAAGCAAAAGTCCAAGTAAAAGCCGGTAGGGGGAGGGGGGTGGAGCAGAAAGTGTTTAGGAAGATAAGGATTTGAAAAGAAGAGATCGCTGGCAAAACATTAAAGCTGTAGATATGAGAAAGAAAACAGGTCTAAAAAAGAATAAAATTGGTATTATGACTACCAAGAGATATTAACTCTGGAGACACTGAGGAACAGAGATGATGGTAATTTACAGCCACTAACAGATGACAACCAAAGTAGTCATCAACAGATGAATAATAAACATCATGGTACACAAAGAAATATTATTCAGCTTTAAAAAACAAAATTCTCACACATACTATAGCATAGATGAATATGTAAGGAGTTGTGTGGATATATATCCTTTTACATAAAACTGAGACTATTATGCTAAGTGAAATAAGCCAGACAAAAAGATAAATGCTGTATATAATTATGTGCCCTTCCTAGAACAGTCAACAAAACTAAAAGTAGTAAGGTTTTCCAGAGACTATGGGGAAAAAATAATGGACCGAAATTGCTAAAGGACGTACAATTTTATTTTTGCAAGATAAAAATGTTGCTGATATTAACAGAAAACTTAGAAACAGAAGAAAAATCTTCATACTAAGTATTACCACAGTTTCAGAAAGAAAAAAGGATATAGAGAGAAAGGTGAAACAGATCTTAAGAGAAGTGTTAAAGAGGTAAGTGAGGAGACATGCAGGATAAGCATGATAGCTAAGAAAAAAAGTGCCTGAAAAGGAATTGCAAACAAATACAAAGGAAAAAAAAGAGGAGGATATAGAATGAGAAGAAATTTTAGAGACAGATAGGAGTGAGAAGAGATAAGGACATGTATGAAAGGGGAGATGGGAAAATATATGAGGGGAGGTAGCTGCAGAGACATACAGAAATATTCAGAGAAAAGTGAAGAGTTAGGTAGATAAAAGAGGGAAGGAAAATGCATTAATTGGAGGACAGGTTCAAAGGAAAAAATTAATATTCAGAAAAGAAACAAAACAGAGAAGGAGATAACATGAGACAAGATGTGGGAAAAAAGGAGCAAAGAAGTAGATAAAGCTAAAGAATGAGAAAATTTGTTCAGGGCATCAAACCAAGATGAAAACGTACACAGAAATTGTTGCAGATTATAAAGGGATCTAAACGGAGGGAAAAAAAAAAGAGTAATAAGAGGTCACCAGAAGAAATATATTCTTTTGACCACTAGATAAAAGGAAGACAGAAGCCAGGTATGGTGGCACATGCCTGTAATCAATCCAAAGGATTTGGGAGGCTAAGACAGGAAGTCTGGAAATTCAAGGCCAGAATCAGCAATTTAGTGAGATCCTCAGCAACTTAACAAGATTTGTGTCAAAATAAAAATAAAAAGGCCCGGGAATGTTAACTCAGTGGTAAAGTGTCCCCGTGTTCAATCACCAGTATCCAAGCAAATAGACCAACAAAAAGGAAAAAAGAACAATGTAACACAAACACACATAGAATATGACTGAACAATTTTCCAATACCTACAATACACAATGAGAAGAAAGGACTAATCCTTATTTCAAAATAGAAAGTTGAGGTCCACAGGATATGCGCATAAATCTCTTGTATGGGGGGAGTTTACAGAGCATGGCCAGTGGCTGACTAATGAGAAGCTTAGACGGATAGAGGACAGAGTGGTGAAAAAGCAAAAAAAAGTGAAACACCCTTACCAACAGAGGAACTAGCACTCTGCAGCTCTTGGTCAGAAACATGGATTTTAATGCCAGATTTGGGAGTAAACTTGGGGACTGGAAGGGACTGCAGGAGTGAGGTCACTGCAACTCGGTCCTGAGATCCTGCCAGACCATATGTCTGGGCAAACAGGTTGGCAGCAGCCATCACATAGTCCAGATGGAGAGACTGGGATAAGGCAAAGCATGGAAATGTAAGGATATCAGCTCACAAATAGTGAGTCTCCACCCACTTCCCACCCATCTACCTGACCCAACTTCTACTTGATTCTAGGAGACCCCAGAGAGAAGACTTACATTGTTGACATCAAAGATAAGCGGATGAGGGCAGCGTTTGGGCCCCGACCAGAACAATGCTCCGGAGCTTGTGAGCTAAGACAGAAAAGTTTTAGGGAAGTCTCTACTGCAAGAAGAGGGCACTCTGGCAATCTTTACCTTGGCCTAGAAGCCTAGACAATCTCTAGAAATTGGCTTTGAGGCAGAAACAAAACACAGTTAATAAACTTACGAACTTTTAAGATACAATACTAATAATAAATACAAATTAACCTTTACAAACTCCCATGAGATAGGTCATACTGCATTGAAACAGATAGTATGATACAGAGGGAAACTAGGTAACGTGTTTAATGTTTAGTAGAGCTGTGACTTGAATAAACATTTTAACTCCAAAATTTCTTCCCTAGAATACCTACAGCCATCACTGGTAATCAGTATGACTCCATACACATCTTAGGCAAGGGGAAAAGAAACAAGTTTCTTTCTTAAGGAAAAGGATATGAGGCAAAAATATGTTTGCAGAAAGCTCTGAGCTAATTAATTACTGCCTTACAGTACTTGTGATATATAGCTTATCTGGAAGAAGCCATGTCAAAAGCTATAGGAGATTTTCATTCTAGGAAAGAGATTTAGCAAAACAGATCAAAAAACATGCAATTTACCTGACTGGGAGGGAAGTTGTGCAGCAACTGCTGGATATTGTCAGAATACTGATTGTGCCAGTGGCGGTAGGCCCAAATCACACAGTCAGCCCAGATCTGTGGCCGCTGTAGCACTAGGCTGCGATGCACAGCCTCCAGGACCTCCAAAGGCTGGGTACCTGCTAGCCGCAGTGTTCTCTCTACAAACTTGGGGTCTCTATACATAATATGAAGCAGCAAATTACTAAAAGGTCCAGAAATAGGCTTAAGACAAAACTATTTTTCTCCAATTCTGACCCCACCCCACATCATATGAGGTTCAAGCACATATCAGTGCATCACTGAGACTGAAGATTTCAATGGTGAGGAGAGAAGATAGGATTATCAGGGAGCAGAGCTAACAGAAAGGAGTAAGAGAATATCTGAGCTACTTACATGAGGTACTGGTTGACATTTTCTGCTGGCTGTTTGAACAGGCCTTCAAACTCATCCCGGGCCCACTGCAGAGCAAACAAAATTATGTAAAGCAATGGTTGATAAAATGGGTTTTTGTAGGTATTAGAAAGATCATAAATGAATATAAAAAGTAGAACATGGCTGCTCTGGGAGAAGACTAAATATGTCTCCCCAAAATGCCCCAATATCTCACCTCAAATAAAAAAAAAATCACATCTAAAATAAAACAAGGATGATTTTTATACAGTTTCTGGAAACTGGGCAGAAAATAAGATTTGCTGTTGTTTATTTTTGACTTCTGAGAACTATGAGGTCAATAAATATCCTCACTGATAAGGTGGCCAGGAGCATCTAGACACTAGAGATTCAGGTTTCAATTCTAGCTCTGCCACATACTATCTAGTTTTGTGACTTTAAGCACACAAGAAAATACCTCTATCACTGTCTCATTATTAAAATACATACTGCAACAGTAATATTTATCCCCTAAATTGCTATCATAAAAAATTTATTTAAAACTTATTTATAATACTGGTAAAGTGCACATTAAGTATCTAATGCCTTTACAAAATCTCTGTGGAAGATAATTAGCATTTTAACAGGTAAAAAAATCTGAAGCATAGAGACGTTAAATTTAAGGTTACATAATGAATATGTTTAAACTCTTTTTGTGCATGCTGAATAAAACAGCTAATTCTGGTTCTTGGTCTCTGCCCAAGATCAGGGAAGGTTTTACATACATGCTTTACACACATACACATACATACAAACACTATAAACATGTACACATATACAAAGACAGTAATGAACATTAACACAAAGCCTGTAAACTCTGGCAAAGAAGATTAAGTGGGTTTTTTCCTTCACTTTTAATAAAACATCTCCTTAAATACTCTTAAGAATCACTGTAAGAACCTAATGGGTTATTTTATGGTTAAAAGGAAAACAGAGGATTAAGTTCTACGTGCCAGTTCCCAGCATATTCATTTTGTCCAGCAACTTGAAACATAATATTGTGTATATACCTGCTTTACACAAGAAAATACCTCTATCACTGTCATCCAAGTTTTGAAAGAAGTCATCAACATAAATGTGCTGTGTCAGGGCCCCATGCTGACACACCATGTACCAAATACATTTGAAATAACAGAAAATTAAATGTATACCTAATACTAAAAATTAAATTTTAAAAGGAGATACTATTAATAAATTAATTTTGGTGAACAAGTACTACTGTTCTATTTACGCACAGAAACATTCTCATTTCAGGTATGTTGAATTATATTCTTTAAAATCTAGTAATACCAAAATGAAGATCATAAGTTAAAATATATATTTATATACATATTTACATATGTAAAACTTAGGCTGCTGGGTGTAAAGTGACAGAAGTAGTTTTGAACAAAACACATATTCCAATGGAATTTAAAGACTTGTTAATGACAAGGACTGATGACAAGAGGCTACCCAAGTCCCTGGGCCTTCTACCTCTCACTTCCCAAGGATGATTACCTGTAGGGTATGCTCAATGGCATTGGGGAAGTTCTTCAAGGTACAAATGGGAATGGACTTCTCAGGTGGGTCTTGGCTAGAGCTGTATGACTCTGTAAGGAAGGGAATAACCACCTGCACATTGCCCTTGGTGCCCAGTGTGCCTGATTCCAACAATGGCTTATGGTAATATACACAGCGGCGGTCCATGTACAAGCCTTTGGGAAGATGAGTAGAATAATGGCATGAGAGATGGGAGAACATTAGGGCAATAAAAAGACAAGCACCTACCAAATGTACACACAAAACAGCCCATTTTTTTTTTAACCCGCCTCCAAACTCACGGGCATCCACATTGTCCAAGGCATTGGCCACACCATCCAAGTTTTGAAAGAAGTCATCATCATAAATGTGCTCTGTGTCAGGGCCCACACGGTTCTGATGGCTAATCACCCTAATGTTTGGATTTATTTGACGCACAGCTGCAGCAGCTGTGTCAGACTTTAATTTCTGGGCAGGAATAGGAAAACAGCTGTTTTCTATGCATTCATTCACAAATCTGCACAGAGCTATCCTGGAAAATGACTTATTTAATAGCAGATAGGGTATATAAGTTTTGAGATTAGCATGTCCTAATGTAGAATACTAAATCTTTGAAAATGCCAAAATGGCCAGAGCCATGACAAATACAGTAGGAGTGAAGACAAAGAAACATAACTGACACAAATAAGTCAGTTTCACCTCCCCAACATAATTATTGTTTTTCAGCTAATGCTAACCAGTGTTGGATCAGATATACAGAAACAAAAGCAGGATGATATTTAAAAACAAACATCTTTTAAAAGCCCCATTCAAGTTATGTTCCTCTTCTGAAAAATCTCCATTGGCCCTCATGTTTATCTGAGTTGTAGCTGTCTCCAACTGACCACTCTGTTCCTTAAATACCACAAACATATTAATTTCAACTTCAAGAGTTTTCCCCAGTTTATTTCCTCTACCTGGTGTTTCCCCCAGATATCGTATTACTGTCTTACATATTTCAAGTTTTTGAAGACGTCTGATATTCCTAGGAAGGCTTTTCTTCTTTTGCGAAACACCCTCTATGACACTTCACAACAGCTTCTGTATTGTACATCTAACACTAATCATTTACTTTATGTTTATCATGACAACTGTTAGTCTTAAAAAAAATCTTAAAAATTTTCTGTTTTGTAGGTTTAAAGCTATAGTTTTCAAACTAGAAATTCCTCAAAATTTTAAAATACTAGTCCACTTAAAATGAAATATGCCTATTACATTTAAACTTTTTATAAAAGAAACTTTATCAATACAAAACATTGATGACATTGTGTTCAATCCCTTTTGAAAAATTATACAATCTCTTAAAGCTACATTCTCACTTCCACTGTATTAAATATGTCTTACAATTTGCTTAAAGAATAATGAATATTTAGTATCACTGAAAATTATTGACATTTTAACTAGTTCAGGTACAAAATCAAATCTAATTAATGTTCACAGTAACTACCTAATAAATAATTTTTGAATCATAATTCATTGGTCTTTGAAAATATTGTTTCAGTGAATTAGGGTAAGCTTCCTAAAACAGAGCATAAATTTTCACTTTGATAAGAATGAAAACAGAAATATACTATCTCAGAATTACCATTACTGATTTTTTTTGGATTAAATGAGTACTATAGGTCTCCAGAAGATATTAGAATATACTTTGAGAACTTCTCCTTTACTCTGCATCTTCCCAGTAGAGAATGAAAACTTTTGTTCCTTTATATATTCCAAAAAAACTGGGAGTACAAGGTGAATTAGAGGAAAGACAAAGATTCTGTGCATGCAAATTTAACAATGAACTTTACAGACAACTTCCCACATAATGACCATATAGTATTATCAAGTTTCAAAGTCTCACATTTGCAGTGACTAAAAATCAAAGAAAACAAAGGTGGGGGAGGAGCTAAAAAATGATAAATGAAAAGAACATGAGGCAAAAAAATCCCAGCTATTAAAATAAGAAACATAAAAAAAGATATGGAAAGAAACCCATCCCTCCCACACTCACCGTGACATCCCATGGGCGGAAGAGAAATTGTCGGTTTAAATTAGACTTTTCAATGGTGTCCATGTCTGTAACTGTTATTTCACCATCTTCCCCACAGCCTAGACCAATCATAGCAAAGTTCTTGAGCAGCTCACAGCCAATGGCACCTGCACCTACCTAGTAAGTAGAAAAGAGAATATGGTTAAAGCAAAGGTAGCACAAGGCTACTCCCAACTTCCTCTAGAGATGCTAATAGATAAGTGGTCCTAGTACTACATGAAGCTGCAGAACCATAAAACCTAGGGTCACCTAAAGAGGAAGGCACAAGACAAACAGAGATATATTCCCTCAATACATACAGAAAATGGAAAAGGGGATGTGATCCGTCTCTAAGAACCAAATATCTTCCCCTTCAGAAATGGAAATAGTTACTAAAAGGGTGATCCAAGTCCAGAGAAGATGAAAGCGCAAGTGCCCAACAGTTTTATTCACCAGAAAATACTTTTGCTTGCCCAGTTTCTCTTGTAGGTCTGAGCCAAACACAGCCACTTGCCCATCATAACGATTTTGGCGCTAAATCAAGTGAGAAAAAGTCAAGTTAGAGGACAGCTTCTCTATAGATGCTCCCTATGTTGCTTTGCCATGGATCCCTCTTAAATACCGGGAGGCATTTTTCTTCCATGAAGGTCACTCTGTTTTCAGGGAGACACTCAAGAGCATCGAAGTACAGCCACTGCCTAATGGGCATAAACTTCCCAGAACAGGCCTGGGGAGAGATTATTGGTGGTTAAACAAGGACTGATAAAGCCAGAGAGCCAGTGGGGCAGGAAGGCACGTGAACCACAGTAAGCCATGCATGTCCTTCCCCACCCATGTTGACCTTCATGACCTCTTGGGCAGCCAATCCCCCAATAAATGCATTTATGGGTGCCAGATTCCCAGCAGCCACATATGCCAACTTCCGGATGAGGTCTTCATCAAGATTGTCCTGCTGGACTGCAGGCAGGGCTTGAGCATTCACAATTTGTGCTAAGGTCACAAGTTTTGCTGCATCCTCCTAGTGAGTCAAAAGGAACCAAGAGAGGACTCATCAGACTACTGTAGGAGTAGGAAGGGAGAACAGACAGATGAAAGAATGATGGGGATTCAAGTGAAGAACTCCAGTGCTTTGCTCATTTGTTTACCTCATTGTGGGGTCGAGGAGGTCGGCTATATTGTGCACAGAACTGATGTAGGGCCTGGAAACCAATGTGCAGTTGAGCAGGACGAGAACACTTAGCAAAGTCTGTTATCACAAAGTCTGGCTCTGCCAGTGAGGCTAACAAGGATTTCTGTATAAAGTGGAATATTAAGACCACAGATATGAAAAACCTATAAGTGCCAAAAATTTCAGTCAACTCTCCCATCCCTGAAGCCTCCATACTCACAAAACTAATCTTCTTGGACACTTTGACTTGATGGACAATGCCTCCACGGATATAGTCAGAGAAGCTGGAAGTATCACAGATACTAAAGGTATAGGGACCTAGAAGATTAAAGAAAAACAAACAAATAACAACAACAACAAAAAAGACCAGAATGAAATTTGCAACCTATTTAGTGTTCCTCTACTACCATGAACACCATCAAAATGAAAATTTAAAGTCATACCATCATAATTTGGACATGGACATCTTTGACCCAAGGTCTTATCAGACATCATCAGATCTACTGTAACATTCACAGGAACCAAGACTAAGTGCTAACCTAGAGAACCTGACAACATTCTGTATTTAAGCTTCTTCCCTCTCATTTCAACATTGCGGGAACCTCTATTTTTGTGGCCAGGTCAAAGGAGAAAAGAAGGAAAATCCTGGAATAAGCTCCCTCCACTAAAAACTCAGAAGAGTTCTGGGACTGTCTAACCTTAGACCGTAACTCAGTTAGAATCCTCAGTCATGCTAACAGAAATCAGACACATCTCTTCTTCCCCTCAATTCCTATCTTAGAGACACACTTCCTGCCAACTTCTGGGAGTAAATGTTCAAACCCCAGAAATCTGTTTCTATTTAGTCCATAAGCTAGCTCAGCCCAGTCCCCAGTCTCCCCTCTAATCCCAAGGCTTAGATCAGACCTAAAGCACAGACACTGTTTATTTCCAAATTCAGGCCAGACAACAAGGTTATGCTGGGTCTTTGATTCTACTCCCCCCCCCTTTAAAAAACAACAACAACAAAAAAAAAAAAACACAGAAAGGGCTAACTCAGGAGTTCCACTTCTGGCTACATCTACCAATGTTAAAAGCAGTTTTCAGATATAGAACAATAGACAATACAAAATTATAAATTCTGAGATGACAAACAAATGAAATGAATTCTATGAATACTCCTGCTTATTGCTGAGGCATAGGAAGGAAGGAAGAAACAAAGTTAAGCCCAGCTGATTCTGTAAGTTGAGACAGAACTGAAAGTTCAGAAGCCATGACAGCCAGACCATAGTACTGAAAAAAAGCTAGAGGGAATGAGCCTTTGATATTCACTGAGGGTCTTCGGTATTTGACAGATGAATGCAAAGAAACTATACACTGCCAACAAAAGAACCACCAAAAAAACCCAACAACAACAAAAATACAGTCATCCACTGATATCAGTATCTATAGGATCCCATGGAAACTATCTCACAAATGTTGAAGTCTCTGAAACAAATGACAAGTATTGCACCTAATCTATACATGTTCTACCCACTCTCTCTAGATAACTCTTAATAAATAACATAACAAAAATACTATTTAAGTATTTGTTATACAGTATTGTTTGAAGAAAACAAGCAAAAAAAAAAAAGTCTATACTGACTTGGCACAGGTGAGACTTTTTTTCTTTCAAACATTTTGAATCCATAGTTAGTTGAATACATTAATGCTAAACCTATGAAAAGAGGGTTGATTACACATTTTAAAAAACAAAAACAAAAAACTCAAGTTCTTAGTTTTCATGTGATTAATAGTTCTAAGTCCACACAGAAAAGACTTTCTAACCCATGGGTATCAACTGCCTGTTTCCCTTAATACATGCAATGTCAGATGGAATTACATCAAGTCTAGACTAAACATACAAAAGTTTTAAGGAGAATCAATTTTAAATAATCTCTACAAAAAAAACTTAAAAAAAAATTGGGGGAGGTGGGTATCAGGGATTGAACTTGGGTGCACAACAACTAAGTCATATCCCCAGCCCTAATTTGTATTTTATTAGAGACAGGGTCTCACTGAGTTGCTTAGCGCCTCATTACTGCTGAGGCTGACTGTGCACTTGCAATCCTCCTGTCTCAACTCCCCGAGCTGCTGGGATTACAGGCATTGGCCACCACACACTGCCTCAAAAATATTTTTGAGCACCAAAAACATTGCCATTCACAATAATATTGCATATATCTGATATAATCTAACATGTATGCTTTGTTTTATTAAGTTTTATGGATCCATTAGTTTCCATCAAATTTGTAAATCTGGGGGCCATTATTTCTTCAAAAGTTTTCTGGTATCACATCCTTGCTAGGATCATTCTATTTTGAGCCACCCATGTTCTTCACTTACAGTAGCATAATTTATTTTCTTTTGGGGGGGTATGTTTTAAGACTCTTAACATGATCATGATTTTCCATAGATTCTTAAAAGGAACTGCTATATTGACTACTTATTCTATATGCTAAGGGGGATTAATAGATTCAGACCCTTAGAAGATTAAATTTGATATAATAAAATCCAAAATGCAAAAAAAAAAAAAAAAAAGGGAAAAAGAAAAAGGGAAACAAAACAAGAACAACTGTCACTAAGTGGTATGGAATATCAATAGAGTGGCTTAGACTTATATACAAGGTGATAATATCCTACAAAGAATGTTTGCATAGAAGTATAGGTAAGAAAATAGTATTTTTGAAAAAAAAAAACAATAATTTTATATAATTAAATAAAAACACTCAAGTACATCATTAAATTACAATGTTAAAGAAAAAAATAAGAATGATAGTGCAACTTTTCCTGTTTGTTTTCTAATAGTGGGGACTGAACCCAAAGGTGCTTTAACATTGAACTAAATTCCAAGTCCTTTTTATTCTTTACTTTGAGACACTGTTTGACTATGTTGCTAAAGCTGGCCTCAAAGTATAAAGAGTATCTCAAGAAAAAAAGGAAGTACAAAATATACACATCTGAGTCTATCAAAAAGAAAAAAATACTGGAAATTGCACAATGTGGGTAAAAATGCTTTCTTGTAAATTCTATCAATCACTTTCAAAAGTAATTACTAAAGTAAAAATAATGTTTTGAGAAATCTGGAATACAGATAAAAGCAAAATTAATAATAGTAGACAATGAAAAATAAAACTGTAATATTTTGTTTAGGGTCTTCTACATATGAAGCAATAAAATATAACTTAGAGATTATACTAAGTACATACTACGGATACACAAATTTTAATTGGTACATGCTTTAATACCAGCAGCTCATGAGGCTGGGGCAAAAGGATCCCAAGTTCAAGATCAGCCTCAATGCTTTGGCAAGGCCCAAAGCAACTTAATGTCTCAAAATAAACAACATAGAGGGCTGGGAAGGTGTTCAGTGGATATGATCAGATCTCACTGACACATCTTACTAAGTCCCAGCACAGATTTCACAAACACTTCTCTTGTCCCTAGGTTCAATTTAGATATGTGTCCCTTCTGAGATAGCTCATACAGGTCAATTTTCTCTCTCCTCTGAGAAAACATTTCTCACTCTCCCAGTAGACCCTGACATACCCAAGACTTTGATCTCTATGGGGTGGATGTCATTGAGTTCACTCATGCCCTGTACTTCTGTGAAAGAGACAAAGTCGCCACTCTCAAATCCATGACGGGCCTCATCCAGGCAGGTAACAACTCCAGGGCTATCCTAGTTTGAAAAGAAACCAATTTTAGAGGCAAGGTTAAGGTGCCAGTAGATAGGAAGACTAACCTTTTTTACCTGTCTACCAGAATCCCCAGGGGCTAACCTCCTTACCTTGGTAACCATGGAAACCATAGCACTAAGTGGTTGTTCCCCATTGGAATCTGTAAGAATCATTTCCTCTCCAAAGTCACAGAAAAGTTGCCTATAGAGATAGATAACAAGACTTGGGCCTGAGAACATGACAGAGGCACTCCACAGTCCAGTACATGCAAAGCAAACTCAGTCCATCTATAGTGGGATTCAGGACAATGCTCATAGAAGAGTGAACACACAGAATCGAAAAGCTTGTTGGCTCAGGAAAACAGGGTAATAGAGCCTTTTATTCTGGCAAGGATTCCGGAAGGAAGGGGCAGGTACTCACCCAAACAGTCCTCGAGTGTCTGCCACCACCAGCTTGATTCCACGGCTGTGACAGACCTCACCCACCTGCAACTGGTACTCCAAAGAAGTGTTGGTAAGGACCACTACCTGTATTTAAGAGCAAAAGGTTTAGGCAAGGGCCTGTGACTAAGGCAGACTAAGAGAATAAAAGGGAAATCCCGAGGGTTAAGGGAAAAGAATATCCAGGCTTTTTTGCTGGTTTGGCCCATTTCAACAACAAATATCAATGTAAGTCAGACTCAGAAGGGAGTCTCAGTTTAACAAAGAGGTACTAAAAGGACAAGACTAAGGACAAGCAGATTCATTTATCTGACAAATTTAGATTACAATATATCTATAATCCTGCTGTACCCTAAGAAAAAATGCAAGTCAACCCCTTGTTCCAGTCAATGTCTGGATTAATTCCTATACCTAAATGTTCCAATTCTCAAGAAAATGAAAATATATTATGGAACTTCTGTCTGAATTCCCTTTCCTATTCACCAAAATAAGTTTACATTTCTGTTTCAAGAGTTTTAATATCATAGTCGTCAGGGCAACATAAAAGCACCCAAAGCTCCTCTTATTTAATAAACATCTCTAACACTAACTACCTACTACTATTTTAAGATTGACCCTAAAAAAAAAAAAAAAATTCTGTTAACAATACACATTGCTTTTGTTCTTACTCTACAGAAAGAAAAAACTAACACAGAAGAAGCTTGTTCCTGGTTACACAAACAAAAGAGTTCCAGACTTAACATGAGAGCAGTTTAGCTCCAAGTTGTGTTTGAAAACCACTACACCACAAATGTATGGCTTCCTAGATTAGGAGATTCACCACCCACCCAAAAAGATAAGAGTTTAATTGCTGCCTATGTATATCCCCTAACTTCCAGAACAAAAGCTAATATACAAGGCCAAAACATTAACAAATAAGACATATAATTATTTGTAAAAATTAGGCAGCATGCAGGGTAACACTCACGTACTTGAAAATCACTAAGGAAGTCCTCAACAAGGGGTCCAGTGTAGGTGCTGACAGGCACATAGCTATTAAGTTCAGCAAGTCGGGGTTCAGATACCTCAGCTCGATTTTTACCAATATCCTCCTCATGCAGGTAGAACTACAAAGGGAAAGAAGGAAGAACTAAAATAGATGCAGAGTTTAAGGAAGACTGGTATTTTGTGAAAGGGAGTCAAGAAGAAGTACCTGAGAGGAGAGATCAGCCCATTGAGCAGTGTCCTGGTCATGAAGGGTGACAGCCTTGACCCCACCAAGGATGATATTCTTGGCAATTTCCACACCTAGGCCCTGTAGGCCTGATACTAACACACTGGATGTCTGGAGATGCTTCATTGCTTCATGACCCAATACATACCTGCCGAGACAGATCTCAGTAAAAGCTGGACCCATCCAACCCTACCCACCTTGTACTGAAAGAAAATTGAGACCACCACATTTATTTATCTGACAAAAAAGGATTGTAATCTACCCACAATCCTGCTGTGCCTACTCCAACTTTTTATGTCCCACTTTTGTCAGACTTACAGCTGACGGGAGTAAAGACCTTCATCTATGTCTGTTTCACTGTTTTTTGGCATTCCCTATGGAAGGATTGAAAAAAACATTCAAGATAAGATAAACAAAATCTGGTTTTAATAGCTGAAAAAAGATATTTCCCTACAACCACTCTACAAGCCACCTGCCAGTGTTCAGAAAGAAGGCACTCACGTTTGTTGGTCCTGGGGGCACTTCAAACCTCACAGAGTAGGTAGGAGAGCAGTTAGAACCCAGCTTTGAATCAGGTCCAGATATTCGACGTTTCTTGGACAGCAGTGAGCTGGACATCTGGAGAGAAAAATGAACATAAGAGGTGAGGCACAAATGCGGAGGATTTTTCTGTTGAAAGTAATTCTGGGAAAAGAGAAGATCTACAATACATTCCTATTCTAAAGAGAAACACATAGAGGGTATACTTGGGACCTAAGACTATGTAGAAAGGGGAGAATAAACATGAATAATTTAGAACAGAAAAGATTCAAAAACCAGTCACTGGTAGATTCTAAAGATGGACTGGGTTTCTGACAAATAATAGTGAAACCAATTTTGAACCCTACTTCTGAATGCAGAGCTGGGACCCAGATAAAGTTAGTGGAGTGAGTCTCTGTAAGGGTGATGAGAATCTAATCTGTTAGGGTCTATGAGGCTATGATAAGAACAAGTGAGAAAGACAGTACCTCTATGATGGAAGACTATTTGCTCAAATAATCCTCCCTGAAGTCTGGTTTGGAGGGGAAACACCAAGATTTATGTGAACCAAAAAAAAGAGATGGGATTAGAGCACTCCTCAAAAACAGATGCTGGGAAGGTTCTCTAAAGGACAGCTTTTAACTCAGGGTTACTGATAAGAAGAGAGCAGGAGTTGGGTCAAATTCTGGACTTAGGGATGCTTCTGAAGGTGAGTGGAGGGAAAATAGTCTTTAAAATCAGATTTTAGGAAACTTCTTACAAAAAAATTCTGGAAAGGTAGGTCAAAGTCCTGGATACACATTTTGAGGCTAGGCTGAGGATGTGGGGATGGGAAGGACTATCACAGAGATTAGGAGGCTCAAGATGGTTAACAACACACACTCTCCCCTCCCCACTTCACTTCCCCTTCCCTGCCACCCCATGTGTCTCCTTCTGGATTATGAAAGTTGACTTTGATGGAATCCTGCGATGTGTGAATAGCCATGTCAGGAAAAATGTTTAGTTAAAATAAATAGGCAAATACACTCTTCTAGATATATGGCCCCTTCAGGAAGACAAATACTTCTGGAGGATCTTTAAAGACTCGTGAAACTAGCTGTGATTAGAAATATTGAAACTGGCGAAAATCCACTGAGACTCAAAGGAGTTCTAAAACACAAAATCTAGGAAAGTGATTAAGTTTTTGATTCCAAATATTGGGCCCGAGACTGTTTAAAAAAAAAAAAAAAAGCGTGGCGAAATAACATGTACATTTCCCGGGTTTCGATGCCCAGAGTAGCAAAATAAAGGGTGAAAAAAAGAAAAATACAAGGAGAAAAATAAAGATCCTGTGGGTCTGGAGTCCCTAAACTGTCCCTAAGCCGCCCGGTAACCTCGGGATAACAAGAAACCAGGCTGCGATCTGCTCCGCCTCCCCTCACCCCAGCTAAGGTCCCAGTTACCGCGGTACGCCCCAGAAAAATCGAGTCCTGCTCAGCGCCGGCCCAGGCCCCTCCAATGCCTCCCGACGCCTCTACCAGGGGCTAGGCGCCCAGTAAGGCCGTTTGTTACCAATGCTGGTTCCTGGGTCGCGCCGCCAAAGGAGCCGAAGTCAAACTCGGCTGCCACCCTCTTCCTACTTCCTCCTCCCCGCAGACTGGGGGCCGCCGACAGTTGCAACCTCTGCCTTCCCCTCCCTGGGCAGTTGTGATTGTGGTCCTCCCACAGAAGATACCTCCTTCACCTTAGCCACAGGAACAAGATGGCGACCGCAGAGCCTGAGGCCGAAACAAAACTTTTGATCCTCCGGGAACCAGGATGCAGACGAGCCACGCCTACTTATGAATGATGTATGACGTAAACAGTCCTCCTACGACTCAATTACGTACAGGACTGAGGAGATAACTCCATCTGGTGGTTGGAGTCAGTAAAATGGATATTAATTAGCTCCATTTACGAAGAACTCTTGGACAATGAAGGGCCATTTAAGAATTATGCCTTTTGATCATAAATTATGTATGGCACAAGACCACAGGTAACTTAGAAAAGCCCGTTCTTAAAAAAAAAAAAAAAAAAAAAAAAGTTTTGCAACAAAGGTAGACAATGCCGAATAAGTCATAATCGCTCATGGGCTTTTAAATTAGCATTTGATTTAAGAGTTTAAAATGCCATGAGCTGGGATATAGCTCAGTTTGTAGACTGTTTGCCTTGTATACCCGAAGACCTGGGTTCAACCCTGCCCTGCGCCACACACAATAAGTTTAAGATTCCTAAATTGTTCTCAAGGTTGTGTAATTTCCGTCTCATACTCCTATTATACTTCACTGTAAAACCCGATATTTAGTTTTAAGGAAAAGAAAAACCTAGCATATGAAAAACCTATAGAACACTGTTTGGCATATAGTGAATTAAATATTTATTAATGTTAATTGGATACATTTTAACGCTCCATCAAGATTATTACAATTTAAAAACAAATTCAGTAAAATGTCAGGATACAAAATTAACATACAAAAATGACATTTTTTGTACATAAGTAATGAACTTGTAAAAAAAGTAATTAAATCCCATTTATAGCAGCTTCTTAAAATTAGATATTTAGAAATAAACAAAAGAAATGAAAGACCTATACAACAACAACAAAAAAAAACTGTCAGATTATAGAGGACACATACACAAATAATTAAAATAACCATACCATCCAAAGTTATCTACAGATTCAATGAAATTTTCACCAAAATTCCAATTATTTCTTCACAGAAATAGAAAACCAATCTTAAAATTCATATAGAAACACAGAAGACCCAGAACAGCCAAAGTACCAAAATACCAGACTAGAGGCATCACAATACCTACTTCAAAATTCACTACAAAACTATATTTGCTAAAGTTGAATGATTCTGTTATTAAAACACAAAGAATAATGGGAAAACAGAATGTCATTGGACTGTTGATAGGGACTGAATTGAATCTATAGATCATTGTGGAATACAATACAGAACTCAGAAATTAATCCACAAACATATAGTCCACTCATTTTTGACAAAGCCATCAAACACTGGCAAATTAAGCCAGGTGTGGTGACACATGCCGGTAGTCCCAGTGACTTCAGAGGAGGAAGATGGCAAATTCAAAGCCTGCCTCAGCAACTTAGTGAGGCCCCAATCACTGAAAGACTAAACATTTCCTCTATGATCAGGAACATGACAAACTTGTCCACTTATACCACTTTTACTTAAACAGATTTGGAAGTCTTAGCAAGAACAATTAGACGAAAGAAATAAAGGGCAAGCAAGACCTGTTTCAAAAAAAGTGTGTGTGGGCAGGGCAGCACTGAAGATGTTGCTCAGTGGCCATACTTGTACAGAAGAATTAAACTACATTCCTTTCTCTTATTAGACACAAAAACAAACACAAAGTGTACCAAAAACCTAAACCTTAAATATGAAAACATAAAATTACTACAAGAAAATGTAGGGTGAACTATGATATTTAATACTATGATATAGGCAATGAGTTTTTTAGATAGACCTCAAAATCATAAGCAATAAAACTAAAAATGACAAAATAGAAATCTGTCAATCTAAGAAGTTTCTGCAAAGAAAATCAAGAGAATTCAAAAACAACCTATAGAAAAGGAATAAAAATTCTCAAATTATATATCCAATCAGAGCTTAACATCCAAAATATATATATGGAACTAAAAAAATTGTAGACACACAAACAACCCCCAAAAAAGTCCAACTAAAAATGGGTTAAAGACTAAACAGATACTTTAAAGGAAGATACACAAATGAACACGAACAAAAAAAATGCAAAAAAAAATTCTTTTTCACTACTCATCAGAAAAATATAAATCAAAACCACAATGAGATATCATCATATTTCAGTAGAAGACAATCATTAGAAAGACAAGAAATAACAAATGCTGACTAGGATGCGATACAACATACTCTAAAACACAGTACTGGTGGGAAAGTGAATTAGTATAGTCATTACAAAAAAGTATAGAGATTACTCAAAAAACTAAAACCAGAACTGTATATGACCCAGCACTTCCACTACTTGGTATACATTCAAAGGATCTGAAATGCTTATACCAAAACAAGAGTTGTATTTCCATATTTACTATATAGCATTATTCACAACTGATGCCCTTCACAGATAAATGAAGAAAATGTGGTATATTTACTTAATGGAATACTAATTGACCATAAGAAGAATGAAATTCTGTCATTTATACCTTCTTGTATGCAACTGAGAATAGTAAGTGAAACCAGTCGGATAGTGGAAGATAAATATCACATGATCTAACTCAATGAAACCCCTAAGCAGACATATAAAATGGAATATTGGTCACTAGGGATAGGGAAATGGAAAGGAGAGAATAAGTTAGAAGCTGTAGAAAAGAAGCTTGTAGAAAAGAGGTTGTTGAACACCTTTTTGGAAAAGCGTCAAAAACTCCCTAAATTAGAAAAATGCATGATATGTGCATGTACGGAAATATCAGTGAATCACATCAATTTATACAGTTAATATGAGTTAAAATGACAGATTAAGAAATAATAAAATCAAATTTTTGGTTGACAGTTATTCTCTTTTAGAACTTTGAGTAAATCATACCACTGACTCTGACATCCATGGTTTTTAATGAGAAATTACCTGTTAATATTATTACAAATCTTTTTTATCTGTGGAGTTATTTCTCTTTGTTTTCATGATCTTCCTTTGGTCTTTAACCTTTAATCACAATATGTTTTGGTTTGGATCTCCTTGGGTTTGCTCAGCTTTGAGTTTGTTTAACTGAATATGTAGACTGACATTTTTCATTAAATTTAGGATATTCTCAGACATTATATCTTCAAATTTTAATTCTTTCTCTATAATTGTTTTGGCTAATGATGTATAAAGAAAACCTTTTTCATTTTGGATGAGCTCTCTGTCAAGTCAAATACAGCTTTATATTATACTAGTATTATAGGAAATATCTTACTCGTGTCTCATAATGAAATATTTGGGGAAAGGTGATAAAAATTTGATGAGATCAGGCTTTTGTACTTCCCTGTCATGACTACCTGCAAGAAAAACACAGATTATTTTTCAAGGGTACCACAACTCAGGGAAAAAGAGGATCAGATTAGTACCAGTTAAAATGATAGTAAACTGGGCATGATGGTGCATGCCTGTAATCACAGCAGCTGGGAGGCTGAGACAGGAGGAACATAAGTTCAAAGCCAGCAACTTTGAGGTACTAAACAACTCAGTGAGACCCTGTCTTTAACTAAAATACAAAATGGGGCTGAGGATTTGACTCAGTAGTTCAGTGCCCCTAGGTTCAATCTCCAGTACCAAAAAAAAAAAAAAAAAAAAAAAAGATTAGGAAGCTTCCTGTTCTTATTCAATGATTTTTCTTGAATATCGATCTCCTCTGTTGCTCTGTGCCTTTGTAAATTTGCTCCTCAGTTGCTGCAAACTGTTCACTAAGTATACTCTGTCTGAATGTGGTGATTAATGCAAGCTTCCTTGACAGTCATATCAAAGCCAGGTTCCTCCAACTTGGTATTTCAGGTAAACCTCATATTTGAAGAAAGAACAGGTACCCAATGCTAGGAGACCAATCCCTTCTAGGCACCTTTCATACCAACAATGTATATTCCAGGAATGAAACATGCTGGCCTAAAGGTATCTCCCACCTTTGATGTTTTTATGAAGAAGCTCTCTTTTTAAAAGAGGGAAGAGGATTTATGACCTAGGAAAAGATAAATAATAAGGAGAAAGAGAAAAACCATCCCCATTTAAGTCCTATAGTAACTATTTTATTTATTTATTAATTTATTTTGGTATTGGGGATTGAACCCAGAGACACTTCATCCCTGAGCTACATCCCCAACCCTTTTAATATTTTATTTTGAGACAATGTCCCATTAAGTTGCAGCTGGCCTCGATAATTTACTGAGGCTGGCTATGAAACTTCTGATCCTCCTGTCTTTTCCCTAACTACCGTGATTATAGGCCTGTAGCACTGCATCCAGCAAATCCTACAGAGGCTTGAATTTAACAGAGACACTTTTTTACCTTTGGTTACAAAGAGGTTTAGGTAGTGGTTTAAACAGTTTACATTTTAACTCAGTTGAGATAGCAATTATCACGAAAGACCCTCCATTTCCCCGTCCAAGGAAAATCACACGAAGCACTGGCTGCAAAAGCAAGAGGTGGTTTATTGAGACACAGGCGCCTGCGGGTGCCCAGCAGAACCTCAGCTGGAGCCTTGGTGAACTGGCACGCTGGGCTTGGGGATACAGAGATTTTTATAGGGTAAAGGGGCAGTTTTCGCGCTCGTGGGAAGCAACAGGTTTCTTACTGGTTTCTTTAAATCTAGCATATAAGTCACCTAGGAGGCAAGGTTGTTTTTTTTTTTTTTTTTTTTTTTACTTTATGTTCCCGGAAAACCCACAGGTTTACATTCCGTAGTTCTGTTCTTGCTTATCTGTTCATGTTTGTTCATGCATGCCTCAGGATGTGGGTGCTCTGTTCTTTCTTTAACCCGTTATGTGGAAAGCACGTCTGGTGCCTGAGCCTGTTTATGACATGCCTGGTATCTTGATTTCATATCTTGGCCTTAGGTAACTGGGCTAGGGTCTTTCAATCAGGCAAGCAGCTGAGAAATCTTCAGTAAACCTACAATACAATATTAAAATGAGAAACAGATTTTTAAAGACCACTGAAC